TCTCCTTGGGTTTTGGGCCAGTCAGGAATCCGAATCGGAACTGCGATCTGCGAGGCTCTTTCTTGGAACTGAGAAGTTTCCCGAGGAAGGCGAGTACAAGCGCTTTGTGAAGCAGCGACCCGGACTAATATACGGGCCTTAATTAATTACCTATACTATTTAAGGGGCTCCATATTATAATTCTAGTAAAATGGGCTTCTAATTATTAATTAAGGCCCCTATATTAGAATGTTGGTTTCCGGGCTTACTGCCTGCAGGGGTTGAAGGTTAATAATTTAGGCTGTTGCGGGGTTTTTCTCTTGGGCTTTAGATGTTTTCAATCGGCGTTGTATAGGTGTTGAAATGTTGGGGTTCTTCATGTTTTATCTGGCTTCTGTAAGCACGGTGTCTCTTTAAGTATGGGCTTCTATATGGGTTCAGCAAAGGCTTTTTGCAACAGTCTTTTCAGGCATAGCGCCTCTTCAGCCCACAATACCCATATGCATTTGAGGGTCAGGAAAGGGCCGAGCCTCGCTGTGATCATACTGGCTTGTAGGGTTGAATCATCCTGAAACGTGGGCCCTGCTCCTACTGTTGTGGTTGATGTTTAAGGTCCTTGATCTTGTATGTCTTTTTTTTGTTTTATTCGCTATTCGTTTTGGGACGGCAGTCGTTCATGTCCATTGCGCTGCTGCGCTCGCGATAGCCCCTAAATCCTAAACCCAATATAGGAGCCTGTTTTTGGACCCGGGGCCTCTCCCTTTGCCGATCCTGTAGACATCAGACCTTCACAAAGCGTCAACACTTCTGTCAGTAAAGCCCTGGGCCCTGAATAACATGGATGCACATGAAGACCTATTGGCCGGCACAACACAAGGAACTACATAACGACGGAGAGATGGAGAGGTGTATAGATGTATGTGCATATATATATATATATACACACACGCATGTTACATGCACATAAACATGCAATGGGTATACACACAGCAGGATTGGGGCATCGCAATCTTCGCATCCCAATGAGGCATGGAGGCAAGTGTAACGCCTCCACCGGCGATGACAAGACCTGCTACCAGTTTGACGTTTCACCGGCTTTCTTGGAAACTGGGCAGTCGGTTTTAGTCGACGGTCGTGAGGTAAAGGGTTGGTCTTCGGAGCTTCCCCGGATTTGAGGGTTCGGGCCTAGGCTCTTCAACTTCCTGAAGAACTCAGTTCTCCCTAGCTTTGACGTATAAGAGGCCTATGTTTAGAAGAGCGGCGGGGGCTTACATCCATGAATCCTAGCCCTCCAAGCCCAGACCTTGCCATGTAGGAGGCAAAAGCCTTGTAAATGTTCAACGAGACTCAGAACAGCCTCCCTGAACCCTAAACCCTAAACACTAAACCCTAAACCCTACAAGGAGGGGGCCATGGATCGCTTCTCTCAGTTCTTCCTGACTCCTCTGTTCACGAAGTCTGCTACGGAGAGGGAGATCAATGCCAGAGACCCGGGGCAGTTTTGTTGCTTAGGGTCTTGGGTTTGGGGGCTGTAGGGCTTCGGGACACTATTCCGGCTTTCTACACCGGCGTTTGGGGTTCTAGCCCTAAACCCTAAAAACTAAACCCTAAACCCTAAACCAATCACTGGGGGGCTCATTGCTCTGCATTTTCGGATGTTTAGGGATTTCTGGGCGTTTCGGCCTGAGAGCTGGGCGACGATCTATGTTTTCATAGGGTTTAGGGGTTTAGGGTTTAGGGTGTAGGGCTTTAGGGTTTAAGTAGGGCTTGCAAGAGTCCTGGATGCAAAA